GGGGGGGGGACCTATTATTAAGAGGGCCATGGCCTCTGGGGCCATTTGTTCTCATTTAAAACCAAATCAATAATCAGTTATTATCCTGCCTCTTTTTCTGCAGCTGGGGGTGGGCTCCATTGATTGGCTGTATGTGCTGCTGTATGATGCATCACCCCCTCCTCCAAATAACTAATTACTAACCTATATTTGAGTTGAATGTGACATAATGGTGCTAGTAGGTCATTAAAAGGTAGTTGACAGTGATTTATCTGTTCTTTGAACTTAAACGATGTTCTATCATTTTAATTAAAAGGTCTACAATGAGGACAAACGACCCAATAAAACATTTATGCACATTTTGCTCAAAGTGGCGCCTTGTGGGTATTCACCTGAAATTTAATCTTTATCTTAGGAGACATCTGATAACCCTTAATTGCATTCCATGCGTGACTACTCCACCCGTTTTTTTTATTTTGGTTTTGGTTTGTTTGTTGCAGTGTTGTATGGGTGCTTCCACTTCATTCATCGTGCTGTTGTGCAAACCAGAAAAACCGGCTTTGTGATCAATACGCTTCCGTAGGAGACGACTGTGCAAAGCACCTGACCCACCTGCTTCCTGTTTACTACAACAATACTGGCTTTAGTTGAACATAACACAGGGAATGCAGGCCTCAGTAAGCAGTCTGCTCCAATTATGTAAAAGAAGGGTTAAATGAGTGAGACAAAGCAGGGTACCAGCAAGTTGCACGTGCCCATCCGCCAACAGGGCTCCGGCACTTGAGCTTTGCAATTGCATTATGTCCGTTAATCACTTTGAGAGGTAATGTTGTTTCTGTGTTAATATTTATAAAATAAAATCAGGTAAACCAGCTTCCGTTCATGTCAGAAAGAGTTTGGTTGGCAGTCATAATATTGACCTCAAATCTTCCATTTTTTTCGTTTTGTCCCCTGCAGAGCAGTGAATTTGGCAATCGCTGCGTGTTTTACAAGCAGGATTGAGAACAGATTTAGAGATTTATTTTAATATTTTACTTAAGCTTTAAAGCTTTGCTTTTTTACCCCAGCTTTGCTGCTGACCTAAAACTGCCAACTTTGAAATGTGGGTTTGTTGAACTGTAGGATATTAACCATTTCAGATTTGAAGGAAGAATCCCAACAAAAAGACTGAACACACCAGAGTATTATTCGTTATGCTAACATGACACAGCATTTCAAGGAAGAGAAGCGGCGGCAATGTGTGACTTTCAAAGCTCAGAGCTGCACACAAAAATGTGATTTGTTTGGCTTTATTTCATGTGACAGTGTCAGCCACCTGAGACAGGCCTGGAAACGTTTACATTTGCGTAAATGGCACACAGAGCAGCTTAATGGAGGCTTTATCAGGCTCATCCTGAGGTGAAAGCAGCAGGCCTGAGCTGTTAGGAGGAAGACTGATCACAGCGATCTCCAAATTGACAAATGGAAAAGAACATCCGGATCTGATAAGAGCCGGTAGCTGCCAGGAATGCTGTCATCAGTCTGGTCATTGTCATCCTCATCGCCCGAGGAAGCGGATACACCTGTCTGAGTCTTCTACAATAACGCGGTGCAGGATGGCACGTCAGTCTGCGCATAACAACAAATGAAAATGTCAAACTGTAATTCACACCAAATCACACACTGCATTCTTCCTTAATCTTCCGGATAGGGTGTGTGTGTCTGTGGTTTTGTGCTTATTTTTTAAAACAACAACAACAAACTTTCCTGCTACTGTAAGTCATATTAGATCATGTGCAGCCTCTTCATTCTGTCTCCTCCTCACTGGCTCCTCTGATAGCTCATTCAACTCCACATTTGTTGTTCTTCTTCATTTAACCGCACAAAAAAGTCTTTCAAGTGCTGCAGCTATTTGCCAACAAGTGATCGAATCATTTTGTCAAAGTTGATTTTTGATTTCTGATTTGTTTGTGTGCTTGTGTTGTGTGTGAGGATGAACCCTGCTAGCTTAGCGGGAGGGAACTAGAGTTGACACCTGTTCCCTTTTAGCGTCTGTGCCGCTTGATACGATCTTTCTGTAGCATGTGATGAAATGCTTTGTTAGAACGGGTTTTTGCGCGTGGCTTTACTCGCTGTCTTTGTGTGTCCCTGCAGAGGAAACTTCACAGTTCCAAAGTTATCAGAGTCTAATATGGGCTTTGGCGTGCTGGGGGTGTTTCTGGGGCTGCTCCTGGAGGTTTCCACACACGGGCCCCACGGTGTGCCTCGCACTTCCTGGAGACATCAAGGTAAGGCGTGAAATAACATGCCGCTGGCTGGTTATTATGATAGAATCGGAGAATGTAAGAATGTAATGCTTGTTAGTCTGAAACACAAATACGACGTGAACTCAAACTGCACTCTCTGTATTACTTTCTAATATATCACAGTTCTGTTATAACTTAGCAATCTACTGTGAAGCAAAGACGTCAACACCTGTCGCCTAATTTTACCTTGAGACAACCTCACCACAGACCCTCAAGTTGGATTCCTGTGTGTGTGTGTGTGTGTGTGT